AGTCATGTTGGAACAGGAAGGGGCCATCCCCAAACTGTTCCCACAAAGTTGGGAGCATGAAATTGTCCAAAATGTCTTTGTGTGCTGATGCCTTAAGCGTTCCCTTCACTGGAACTAAGGGGCCAAGCCTAACCCCCTGAAAAGCAACCCCACACCATAATCCCCCCTCCACCAAACTTTACACTTGGCACAATGCAGTCAGGCAAGTACCGTTCTGGCAACTACCAAACCCAGACACGTCCATCGTATTGCCAGACAGAGAAGCGTGATTGGCCATTCCAGAGAACACGTCTCCACTTCTCTAGAGTCCAGTGGCGGCGTGCTTTACACCACGGCATCCCAGGCTTTGCATTGCACTTGGTGATGTAAGGCTTGAATGCAGCTGCTCGGCCATGGAAACCCATTCCATGAAGCTCTCTAAACACTGTTGTGCCAATCTGAAAGCCACATGAAGTTTGGAGGTCTGTGGCTATTGACTCTGCAGACAGTTAGCGACTTCTGCTCACTGTGCCCTTCACCATGCACTGACCCCGCTCTGTCATTTTACGTGGCCTACCACTTCGTGGCTGAGTTGCTGTTGTTCCCAGTTGCTTCCACTTATAACAAACAGGTGACCGCGGAATATTTAATAGCAAGGAAATTTCATGGAACACCTGAATTCAATGATTTGGAGGGGTGTCCCAATACTTTTGGTGTGTGTGTGTAATATTATTGCATAATTACATATATTAAGAACCATCCACTTACAAAACTAAAATATTTTCACTATAGTGGAAACAAAGATGGTTGCCATTGCTGAATTTCTTTAAAAAAAAAACCCTAAATGTTCTTTTCAAGTAGCTAGCAGATGAACGACTCATAATGAACACTTAAGCCATTTGCGTTTGGCTTTTAACAAGGAACTTGGTGACAATAAAAAAAAATCTACAGCCTGTGACTCATCTGTGTCGTTCTGCAGAAAGTCGCACCTCCCGTACTCTTTGGGTATTTCCAGAATATAGAACTGAAACTACAAATTTTCCCTGCAACTCAAACAGTTTGTATAATCTGAGGAGACTGTAGCCATGTTGGTGCACTTGTAGCGTAGCATTACATCAGCAAAGCAGGCCAGAGATTTAAAAAATAATACATCTTACATAAACCCAATAACAGGACGCCATTAAAGTGGCACTAAACTCGGGAGTAAAATCTTAAAAATGCAAAGTGCCTTGTTAAGATACACAAAAAAAAAAAAATGTATCACTCAGCTGTAGATCCTCCAATCATCTCTGAATTGGTGCTGACACTGTCCTTCCTTCTGGAGGGTGGCTACTTTTGTTGTCCATGGTCCCTGTGTGGGTCATAAAGTAGTCACCGCTCCAAGCTCACTCCCAGGATGGACTACAATCTCACGTTTAGTTTACTAATTTGTATTGATTGTAGTCTATCCCGGGAGTGAGTTTGGAGCGGTGACTACTTTATGACACGCGATAATAACAAATTTATATTTATTCTTGTAATAAAATGTTATAGCGAAAAACTAAATCATGTCTGGGGGTTTTCATTTCTTCCTCTAGGGCTTCATGTGGGACATAGCGGAGGAGCTTGGTGCCATGCTGATATTTGCTGAACACCGCTACTACGGAGAATCAATGCCGTATGGTAACCTGTCCTATAGTGTAAGTATTCTTAGAATTCTTGTTGCTTTTATTTGAGCTCCTTGTATCATGTGTCCTTTTTTTGCCTTTAGCAAACATGTGACTTCCTACTATCGGTTGTCTGTTGGTGATCTGAAAACAAAAGGCAGAATTTGGTGGTTCTGAGCGACCAGATCACCTTTTCTACTTGATGTAATTGCACATAGTTTTCTTAAAACTCAAAGTAACAGTGGCGCTGTTCTCTACAGTAATCGGGATACATCTTTCTACAGAAACTTATCGGGGGGTGATGGCTCTGCTTTTTACCCTAGTATTTCTAACTGGGCCTTAGTTAAATTATAGGCAACATTGTTTTGACACAGATGGTGGGTACCTCCTGTTATGGAAAGGTGATGGATACCCTGTAAAGTGTCCTTGGTTAAAACTACACTTTCTAAAATACTTGGATCTGATAAATTTGCTGGGCTCCAATCTGATGCAGATTGGCCCAGTCTGTAATCCCTTATACATTTGGAAACACCTAAGACTTAAAGGAGAACTATGAGGTGAGTGCTTTTCACTCACCTCCTAGTTCTAGCCGACCTGTGACAATGAGACTGTCACAGGTCGGCTCAGTAGATCGGGAAGTGAGCGAACACATACCGGCGCTCGCTCACTTCTCGATCCTGTCACAGCTCTCTGCCGTGACAGGGGAGGGGCAGGGCGGGATTCACCCCTCCCCGATCCTCCAGCGCTGACTGGCGGAATGGACGGGGAGGGCGGGTGCAGCTGGCTCTGCCTCTAGATAGGCAGAGCCAGCTGTCACTCACGCAGCTGGGCGGATCCAGATGGGCGGATCCAGATATAATTGTCGAGATCCGCTTCAGCTGCAGCGTCTCAGTATACCGGGAGTTGTAGCTCGCGGTATACTGAGCTTAGGGTGACGGGAGGACTAGAGCTGCAGCTAACGATTATTTTCAAAATCGATTAGTTAGCCGATTATTAAGTTCGATTAATCGGATAAAAAATACATTTTAAAAAATGGCTCCAGTGATGGGACTTCTAGTTTGTATTGAGATTGCAGCAAGCTTGGAGCGGTGGAAGTAAAAAAGAAAGTGTGGTGTACAATATAGTGAAATGAAAATTGTAAAATTATACAGCAATGAATGCAGAATGGCACCGGCTATAGAGGACTACAAAACCCAGCAATAGTACATTATACAGCACAATGCAGAATACCACCAGCTATAGAGGAATACAACAAATCCCAGCAATAGTACATTATAGCTGGTGGTATTCTGCATTGCGCTGTATAATGTACTATTGCTGGGTTTTGTAGTCCTCTATAGCTAGTGGTATTCGGCATTGCACCACTGTATAATGTACTATTGCTGGGATTTG